GGGGTGCTGAGTGTGAGCTGCTGTGAGACGCCTGGAGGGCGCCACGGCCCAGGCGAGACCCAGAAAACACGGTAGAGTGCAGGGGAAGGCGGAGCAGGAGGGAGGGGCCTAGAGAAACCTGGGGCCCACACCCACCATCCCTTCCCTCAAAGATGACCCATCCACCCAGGGGGCAAACTCCGTATTGCCGATGGCTGTGAGTGACAGCCCTGTGCTGCAGATCTAGCCAGAACCTAATGTGCCTGTCGGGGGGCTCTGCATTCTGTGCAGGTAGACAAGCACAATGGAATGTCAGTGGTGGGGAGCGCTGGGGTGGGTGTTGGCTGCACTGGATCTTTTTTTTTTTTTGGTACCCGGGATCGAACTCAGGACCTTGTGCTTGCATGGCAGGCACCGGAACCACTGAGCTAAATCCCTGGCCCTGAACTGGATCTTTAATTCAGAATTTTCACCCAGGAGGCCGAGGCAGGAGGAGCGCCAAGAGTTCAAAGCTAGACTGGGCTACATAGTGAGTTCAAGGCCAGCCTGAACTACATGGTGAGAACCTATCCCAAAAAAACCAAAATAAAGCAAAAAAGAAATAAAAGAAAGGTAAGAGGGGCTGGGGATGTAGCTCTGTGGTGCCGCACCTGCCTTGCAAGTGCAAGGTCCTGAGTTCGATCCCCAGTACCACAAAAGAAAAAAAAAAAAAAGGAAAAGAATGGTCAGAATTTTTTCTCCTAGAGACGAGTGCTTCTCCAAACCTTGTGTGGAGGGCATCAGAGGCCTGGACAGGACAGGGAGGGAAGAACACGCAGGGCTTCCTGGCGCTCCCTTGTCACTGTAACAGGCCGGCCACGGTGAGGCGGTGACCCCAGGCCACAGGAGCCCCTCTGACTCCGAGGACCCGGCTCTGAACAAAGCCCTTCCCTCTGCCCTGGCTCCCTCACCCTTGGGAGATGGAAGTGGCAGGGCCCCAGGCAGCCAGGAATGGGGTCCCTGTTCCACACAGGATGGTTGGGAAGGGCCTCGCTTGAACCCACCCTCAAACGCAGTGCCAACATGAAACTGTGCAGCGCCTTGGGAAGAGAGGACAAGAGCGCAGACCCGCCCCACTCTGGGAACCAGCACCACAGGGCGGCTGAGGACATGGTGAGAGCAGGACATGAGGGTGTCGAGGGCACAGCGCCCGCCCCTCACAGAGGCCCGACAGGCCTTTGCTCAGCTCCGACTCTGATTTCCTCTCCTCTCGGTGGGACAGGAAGCTGCGGGACAGCGCCGAGCACACAGTGACAAGCAAAGCACTCTTGCTGCTGCTCCTGCCCGTGGGGCGGGCAGAGTGGGTGAAGACGAAGGCTGCCACCATCACCTGGCCGCGCCAGGGCAGCAGGCAGGAAGGGGTGAGAAGTGGCCGGGCTCCAGTGACACTCTGAGACAGGGCAGAGCTTGTGTTTCAGGTTGTGAGAGGAGACGGTGGCGGCTCTGGGGGGTGCACTTTGCTGGGGAGTGGGGGGCTGCACACTGGGACGACGACGAGAGGCCAGGTGGCTGGACTGGGGCAGTCTCACTGGTGGATGACACAGCATTGCAGGGGGAGGCCAGGCCCTGGGCTGTTCCAGTGTCCAGAGGCTGGGAGACGCGGAGGCCTCAGGTATGGGGACCCAGGAATGTCCAGCCAGGCCGGGGCAACCGAAGAAGTGACGTCCTCCATGACACGCCGAGTGAGAGAGATGTTCACACCCCGATCGGGGCTGACCCGGGTCTCACACAGACTTGATCGGTGTGCAGGCACCACTGACAGAGCCAGGGCAAAGCCAGGCTCGGCTACAAAGTGACCATCGCCCCAGACAAGGAACACCCAGAACTACAGATCCAAAATGAAACCCCCTGCAGATGGCAGAGCTAAACAGTAGACACGGAAACACTTCCAGGGTACTGAACAGCATACGTCTATCACATGATTCCATTTATGACTTTTTCTTTTGTAGTTTGGGGGACTGAACCCAGGGCCTCACACACGGTACCACTAAGCCACTCAGCCCCATATAAGGTTTGGGTTTTGTTTTGGGTTTTTTTGAGACAGGGTCTCGCTATGTAGCTCAGGCTGGCCTCGAACTCTTGGTGATACTCCTGCCTCAGCCTCCTGAGTGCTGGGATGACAGGCATGTGCTTTCACACCTGGCCCCCATTTATGTTTTTAAAAATTCATAGGAAAGAAATTCAGGGAAAAATAACAATAAAAGGATAGTTGAAAATGGCAGATCTCCTGTCTGAAGTCACAGTCTAACCTGCTGCAGAATGCCCAGGCAGGACACATGGCTCCGACCTCATCAACAGCAGGGCACTCACCACAGCAATGGGGTCGTTGCTCCGGGTGGCTGCAAGGCTGAAGTGCTTCACGTGCGTGTTGTTTTCCAAAGCCTTCGCAAAGTCCTTTAGGGTTGGAATCGGGATGTTCTTGAAAGATAATGTGAAACATCATTACATTTTAGTTCTCAAGAAATTCAGTCCTTTAACCAAATACATTTGTACTTGCATTCTGCCTCAGAAATTATATAAGCAGACACCAGTCGACGAGTAGGACCAAGACAGCCTCCTCTTAGCTGTCTGGCTTCTCCGCTTGGCGCATGTGCACAAGCTGTTGGGGAAGGGCAGAGCACACACCGCACTGTCTTGCACTCAGGCTAAAGAAGCTCTTGCTCCCCTGCTTGTGTTACTGTCTATCCTGAAGCCTGCCTTGGTATGCAGAGCAGACCCATGTTTCTGCTGATGCAACCCAGGGCAGGGACTGCCTTTCTCAGCCAGCTATCAGCGCTCAACCCACCACTCCTGAGGGAACATAGCCAGAGAATGCCGACTCCCTGGCTGGGAACCGAGGCTCCAGTCCTTGTCCACCCTGTAGCTTTCACACCATTCATCTTTTCTGGAGACAAGGGGCTGAAGCAAGGACACCGGCTTTCCCCACCCACTAATGGGCACAGGGTCTCTTGTCTGGCTTCATCTAATCTCAGGTGCTTCCTCCCTGCACCCTGGGGCTCAGAAATCAAGATCTAAAATAAAGACTGTGAAATGAAGGTTATGCACAATGGGCAAGATATACGCGACCCCAGGAAGAGGTGTAGTTTCAAGCCCAGGAAGATCTCAGAAAGCTCATTTCCATGTATGTACTCGAGAGATAAAAACACATGTTCACCCAAGAGCCTGTATGCAAGTGTGCAGTGGCTTCATCATATAACCCACTTACCAGTCCAATTACTTAAATGCAGGGTGACCAAAAATTGCAAATTTTTTCATTAAGTTTTAGAAGATAACAATAAACAAACAAGAGTGCTATCGAATTTATTCAATGTAAGAATTGGCTGGGTGAAAAAACACCTGCCCTAGTGATGCTCAGGACAGTCAGTCTGTAAACAAACGCACAGCCTGAGTGACACCTGGGGAACCGTGAAGTGCTTAAGGGCCCTAACCCGGAAGCCACGCACCAGTCGACCACTTGCCGATGGGTAAACCAGGAGCCACCCCTCCGTGCGGAGGAATACTGCTCAGCAACAGAGACCAACTACGGATGCCCCCCACCACAGAGGGCCTCAAATGCAGGACGCCAGGTGAGGACGCCGAGCACAAACACTGCACTCTGGCCAACTCCATTCACATGGCATCTGGAGGAGCCACAGGAAGGGGAAGGAAAAGCCGCCATGGTCGTCAGAGGGCAAGGAGCAAGCTGAGCACCGTCCGGGCGACGGACACGCTTCACTTCTGACTGTGGTGGTGGCTGCCTAACTGCACACACTTGTCACAACCCCAGGGCTGCACACTCAAGGGGATTTTACTACATGTAAATAATACCTTAGGAAAACTCATTAAAAAACAAAACCAAACCAAAGTTCTTAAATGTTAGATTCACTGACTGCCTGTAGGGTGTACATTTTTATGATTCTGTAATACTGTAATTTCTAAAATCTGAGGGCCTATGGTAGCATACGGTTAGAAGTAAGAAAGTAGAAAGAACGAGCCAGGCGTCAGCCGGGTTCGGCTGACTGAAAGCCACTCCAGCCCACTTCACCAACCGCGTGACACTTACCTTTATATTGTTCAGATTGACCTCCACGAGGCAGGCGTCGTTCTCCCGGATTCTCTTCAAGCTCTCCTCAACGTTGGTTGGGTTTGGTGGCTCATCAAATACTGGGACAATCTTCTCGCCTTTCACCACATCTGTGGTGACAAACAAAAGGAGTGGACTGGGCTGGGTGACACCCACAGAGGGCACAGGCACTGACGTGACACACCTCTCCCAATCTCCCCCACATGCCTGGACTCAGCAGAAGTGACTTAAGGCTCCTTCTCCACATCCCCAGAAGTCCCTCATCCAAAAGCTTCCCCCGAGCACAGCAGGCCTGAGCTGTGCCTGCTCAGCCGGGCCGTCTTCTTCAAGACAGCACATCGAGGCGATGGAAACACTTCCTCCTCACTGAATGAAAAGGTCCTAAGCTGCACAAAACCGGCAGGTTTTGTTCCCTACTCCACAGGATGTCGGCAAACCACCCTGCCCTTAATGGCATAACGGCCCTGTCATCAGGATGCTGAGGTCATGGGGAACAGGTTCCTGGGACCACGTGGCCTCCACATCAATCTCGCTCCCTGGAGACGAGGCCCAGACAGGATAACCTTTCTTCATGTGTCAGTCACCACTGAGGAAGGGCCGCCTTTTCATTAACGCATATTTGTAATACAGAGTAATGACATGCATTCTGGTATGTTGGTATATGTATATATAACATATTTCGATTATTTTCACCTCTGTTTCCTCCTCTTTTCTCTCCCCCCTCCACATCACTAAAAACTGCCTTCTGGTTTCCTGCCATCTCTCATTTATTCATTCATTTCCCTCACTCATTTTCAGGTTGTTTATATAAGAGAAAACATATAATACTCAACTTTTTTTTTGAGACAGGGTCTCAACTGTGTAGCCCAGGTTGGTCTCAAACTTGTGATTCTCCTGCTTCAGCCTCCCCAGTGCTGGGGTTACAGGTACACCCCACCATGTCACCATAATTTCAGAGATAGGTTTATGTCACTTAACATGATGTCTCTAGTCCTATCCATCTTCATGCAGATGACATGATTTCACTCTTTATGGCTGGATAATGTTCCACAGGGTGTCTATACTACACTTCCTTTATTCACACACCTATTTCCAAAGCATAGGTATTATGAATTGTGCTGCTATAAAGAAGGGCATGCATGCATCACTGCAGTGTGATGTTTTTCATCAGTATGGCAATTCCTCAAAAAACAAAATAGAAATTCCACTTGACCCAGCCACACCTCTCCTGGATATGTTCCCAAAAGAATCAAAAGTTTTTTTAACATTCTTGATGATAGCCACTCTGTAATGAAAACTCAGTGCAGTTTTGATTTGTATTTCCCTAATGGCTAAAGATGCTGGACATTTCTTTTATATACTTATTGACCGTCAGTATTCTACTTCTTTAGAGAAGTGTCAGTTCATTTGCTCATTTGTTGACTGAGCCATTCATTTGGGGGAAATTAAAGAATTTCTGAGTTCTTTGTATTTTCTAGATATGATTCCTTTATGAGAAGAGTACCTAGCCATTTTTCTCCCTCTGTTGTAGGCTGTCTTCACTGTTAATGATTTCCTTTGCCGTGTAGCTTTCAGTTGGACGCGTCTGTTGATTCCCAATACTATCTTTTATAGTAGGTCATCGGGGCCTATTCAGGAAGACTCTGCCTGTGATATGGCTTCAAGTATTTTCCTATGCTTTCTTCCAGCCTTGCAAAGTCTCTGGTCTTAGATCTATTCTCATTTGATTTTAGTACAGGGTGAAAGAGAGATTTCTCTGTGAAGCATTCTTACAAGATCAGAAACCCTGCACTCGACTCTGATCAAGTTGCTACACTTAACAGTTTACCAAAACAGGGGGTAGAAAAACACCACCATAAGGTTGTAATCAGCCAAATCTAAAATGTGGAAATTTTTACTGAACAAATAACCCAGTTTCTTCAACAAATAAATGGCATGAAAAAAGGGGTAAAAGGTGGAGAGAACTGATCAGAAATAGAGACTGAAAAGGAGCACCATGTGTAATGTGCAACCTGTATTTAGGCCCAGATTGACCAGGTGTGAGATGACTTTTGAGATAAGGGAAACTTGGACCTGGCTAGGCTTCAATGATGAGTGAACCAGCTCTGCTTCTGTGGTGCTTGGAGCCCAGGCCAGGGCCTTGTGCATAGCAGGCAAGTGCTCTACCACTGGCTATGGCTCCAGCTCTTTCATTATTTTCTATTCTGAGACAGGATCTTGCTAAGTTGCCCAGGCTGGACTTGAATTTCTATCCTCTTGCCTCAGCCCCCCAAGCAACTGGAATTACAGGAACGCACTGCATACTACACATGGCTCTACAAATACATTTTTTAAAAAGCTTTGTTTTAAGCAATGTAATACTCTGTGTCAGCCTGACAGGTTTAGGGGCTCAGTGTTTTGGTGGTTTCCCCTGAATCTGATTTTACAGAAATTTGTCAGAATTGCTGTGGATTTCTTAAAAATCAGTAGCATTGATAATAAAATACTAATAAAAAATAAGTGTGATTAGTTTTTACACCACTAATACTACTTAGTGAGGTGAGAGTGGTTCCCATAAACAGGTGCTGACACATTAAGCATAAGTTATTTAATATTCTATTTTCAGTGGTGTTCTCTGTCAATACTATCAAGCTGGAATTTCAAGTTTCAAGTATATGTGTATAACACTGGGTATGTAAATACCAAAGACTTTACAGGGAGAAAATAAAATGTATTTAATAGAAAAGTGGAATTCATAGAGCATCTTTAATACTCACTCGAAAAATGCTCTTGGTTGACACCATTACTACTTCCCACAATGTTAGAGAACTGAGTATTTGTTATCAAGTTGTGCATCCCAAGGATAGCTATAAAGAGGGAAGAAGAAAGTTAGTTTTTATTTCCATTTGTTTAGAACTTCTTTTTCCTGTTTCAGAGACAGAGTCTCGCTGTGTTGCCTAGGCTGAACTTGAGCTCCTAGGCTCAGGAGGTCCTCCTGCCTCAGTTTCTTGAGTAGCGAGGACCACAGGTGTTCGTCACTCTGCCTGGCTTATGACTAAATTAAACACAGGTTTTTATTTATTTTTAAATTAAATTTTATTTTACTATATCCCATTCTTCCCCTCAAGCGCCCTTACTCTCCCCATGTACAAAAACTTTGTTTCCAATTTTCCTTCTATTTTCACTTTTTTTGTCCCTTCCTTCCTTTCTCCCACCCTCCTCCCATTCCCCTTCCCATTTGAACACTTTCTTCCCATTTCCCAATATCCACTGTACCTTAAATACAGATTTTTACAGCCATAAGAGAAACAAAAAAAAGAAAAAAGGGAGACAAAGTGATTACAAATTCCTTTAGATTACAAATCTCCTATTCAATACCCTTGTTATTTTCTCCATTTCTGAACTTGGATTTCCCCATTTTTTTAATTCAGGTCCACAAGTGGAGCCAGCCTGACCCCAGCATACTCAGAGTATCAGTAAATTCTATTTAAGAATAAAGTAGCATCCCTTAAAAATGACATGTAAGAGGGAAACGGCAGCTTTTGTTTTTGATGGTCTTTTGTACAAAGTGGAAACCAGTGTCCCCTGGCCACTCCCCTCTGACAGGTCCACCAGAGGAGTCCCGCAGGGGCGACCACCGCTCAGCTGGGATGCCTCACTTCGTCTCTCCCCTCCTAGGGCTGCCCCGAAGGAGTAGGCTGCTGCCTTCCGACATGGTCACTGTGGTATTATGGGGTACGAGGGCTCCCCACGTGCCGAGGGGAACGGGGATCTGCATAGCAGGTGGGGAGACACCGGCCCTGGGGAGCACTGGGCAGGGATGAGCACGGCACTGAGTCAGGGAGGTGGAGCATGGGGCCAGTCAGGGCTGACCGTCCCTTCCTCCCAGCGACCAGCGCTGGTCTCCGGAGGACACAGAACGGCCGACCCTGCGACCTCCCTCACTCCAGCAGGACAGCCTCCAGCTGAGAACTGGCGGTGAGAGGTCCAGAAAGACTCAGTGTGGAGACACGAGAAGGGGTCAAGCAGACAGTCAGCTCTGAGTATAAGAATGCCACCGGGGGAGTCACACTGGCGGCTGGCCCAGGGCTTCCTGCTGTGCCCTACAGAGGTGCGTGCTGGTGCCCCCTCCCTGCTATGCCACTCACCTGCGAGGTCACACAGCTCTGTATCCGAAGCGCTAGTCAAAGCCTCTTCTAACTCTGGGTCAAGAGAGATACTTTCTTCTGTAAAGGTCTGTACAGGTTTCTGCTTGGGGACAAATATTTTCCCTGTAAAACAAACAGAACACTGAATTCCACTAGCACTGCTACTAGCTCCATCATCTCACAGTACTGAAGTGTGTGCTACAGGGTACAGGCGAGGCTGAGGGTAACGTCTCGTGGTCGGTATGGATTTAGTAAGCATCCAGGGCAACACTTCGGCTGTGTTAAGTCAGAAAAGCAAAGAAAGGTAACAGAAACCTTCCCACCTGCGGAAATAAAAATAGGCTCTCTGGGAGAAATTTTGAGTTGCTTGATAAATACCAAATTGACAAATGAAGAAATGACTTGAAAGACAACAACAAACTGTCACTTGAGGGATGGCAGAGGCAATTCTGATTCCAGACACTCATGTTTCAATTGTGAAGAAATTTTAATATGTTCTGTATGGAATTCTGAACTGTTGATCGTTGTTCCTCTAAGCTTACAAGGTTAATTGTAACCCTTAACAAAATTAGTCACCCTGGAAACTGAGTCTTTTTATTATGTGAAAATCAGTATGTTTATCAGCATCTATTACACAAGATTGAAAATCTGAAGGAACAGTATCAGTGTAACTGCAGCACTGGCTGATCTAAGAGCTGAACCCATGCAGATGATGCATGTCTGTAATCCCAACACTCTGGGAGGCCAGCGATTTAGCTCAGTGGTTTCCGCCACCTGCCTTGCAGGTGGAAGGTCCCAAGTTTGATCCCCGGTAACAATGACAAAAAAAAAATTGAGAGAACCAATACTCTGGGAGGCTGAGGCAGGAGGATTCCAAATTTGAGCCAGCATGAACCTGGCTCAGCAAGAACCTGTCTCAAAGTAAATAGAAATAAAAAGGGTCGGGGATGTACCTCAGTTCAGAGGCCCTGGGATCAATGCTGCCAGATAAAACAAACCCACACGCTGAATCAGCCCGCTGCAGACAGGCAGGTCTGTGCACGCCCTAACAAGGTCCTGAGTCACGTGGAAGACACCGAATCACCCCGCTGCAGACAGGCAGCCACCTGATTCCACACTACAAAGACGGAGAGGACACCAGACCACCAGACCAAGGTATTGAGTCCCACTGTTCACGGCCCAGAGGTAGGGGCTTCTGAGCTGTCGTCCCACTGCTCCCGATCCAGAGAAAGGGGCTTCCCGGTCATCATCCCTCCCACTGCTCCCAGCCCAGAGGAAAGGGCTTTTGGGCCACCTTCTGTCCCGCTGCTTCTGGCCCAGAGGAAGGGGCTTCCGGGCCACCATCCCTCCCACC